TTCATAAAAAAACAAATAAATAAATAAAATGAGCCTAACAGCAATTTAACAAAGTATCCTCAGTGTTTTTAAAGGTAATCATTATGTCTGAGCAGGACATAGGCTTCTGTTTTACTCATTCATGTATCTCTGGTTTGTTAATGTGTGAAAAAACAAGCATTGTAATAAAAAAAGTCAAGTCCCATGACTCGTAAAAAAAAAAAAAACAACATTTTGTTGCAGTAATAGATAACTTAGCATTCAAAACAATGTGTATATGAGTCAAATAAGATTAAGAAAACCTGGACGTTAAAGTCCGTACAGCAAAATGCCACCTACGCAACAGCTAATGTGGAACTTATTTGTACTTTTCTGATGGAGAAGTTTCCACTTTGGCATGCACACGACGTGTCCTGCACAGTGTCAGTTACATCTCTCCTCCAACAGAGAGACAGTGTGAAGACTCGGATGCTTTGTACAGATCTGTAACACGTATGTCTCCCAGTACATGTGGAAGACAGTATTTAAGAGGAAGCGAATGAAGTGTTTTCTTTTTCTTGTTTTAAAAAATGCAAAATAAAAGAACAGGGTTGGGTTACAAAACAAAGACCGATTGGATTGAAGGTCTACAGATGTCACTCTGGCTTAGAGTTCGTTATAAGCAAACATTTGCTTTATCTTGGCACTGTTGTATCATCTAGACGCTGAATCCTATCATCTGTGTGAGCTCTCTCTCGTCCTCAGCGAGAGGGTGAGGAGAAGTAAAGACTGATTCCCAACCAGCAGAAAACACATGCAGACATGCAAACACAACCTGAGAGGGCTCAATAGGAAGTTTGGCTTTATGTCAATAGTCACAAATCCACAAGTGTCAAGTAATGAACATACACACTGCAATGGGAAGTTCTCTTTAAACAAACATTACATCTCCTCTGGGAAAGACATCTGGAACCGGCCCTCTTTCTGTGTGGAGCTGGAACTTCCTTAGTTTATTCTCTTCTTCTTTATTTTACATCAGGCTCTTTGTGTCAGAGTTTCTAGGTAGTTTTTATTCGTTCCGTATCCTCCGGTTTGCAGCGGCTCACACTCTGATGGGGAGCGTTTGGCTCATCTGTTGGCGAACGATTTCCTGACTGCTCTCCGGACTCTTTCTGTTGTGTCCCGGCAGCGTTCCTCCGAGCCGCAACAGGTCCCTGCCGACACAAAGCCACACAGGTCAGCAGCAGGTTCATAGCCGCTTTACAAAACATACAGCTGGTTATTACTGCACTAAAAGCTCTCACTGACGGTGGATAAAGGTCTAATCCATTTCAGTGTCAGGGTAGCTAAGTAGAGTCTATATGCTTAAACCTAATGCTTATAAATAATAAAAACAGCACCATGAGAACACGCTCAAAACTGCTCATCTAGAGCTTCATCTGTCCAACTCAAATGCTGAGCCGCATCTATTCATCACCAGTTTTAATAAAAGTTCGACATATTTTCTCAGCTATCTTGGAAGAAGTGCCGCGGCCTCAGAGCGTCCTTTGTTCCTTGGCCAGTGTCCTTGTGTTTAAGGCCACAGTGGCTGAAGATACTCTTCAGATAGCGCTGCTTCTCATATCCTTCCTCTCCTTCTGCTATCTAGCCTGACATCACTGAGCAGCCAATGGCAGGTGAGCAGCTGCGAGCGTTTGCCGCCTCAGACGCACATGCAAACACAGGAGACGCTCCCTAAATCATGCTCTGACAACATGATCCTTTCTCTCTCCTCCTCTTCATCCTGCTCCTTCTCTGTCGATCTCTTGCTGTCGCATACAGATGAGGCCATAAATTAATCATTGGCATGTCATCTGCACACGGTGACACGTAGCATAACATGCGCACACACACACACACACACACACACACACACACACATCCCTCTCCTATTCGCCCCATCACAGTATTGGGCGCGCCCTCCCCTGATGCATTAAAAAGCTCATTAGCAACCTAATTAAACACATTCCTCTCTTTTAGCTTCTCCTCAATCTCCCTTATTACTCACACTTCATCACCTCCTGCTTTTCCACATCAGCAGCTCTGGCTGCTGTCTGTCCTATCACCTACATTCCAGCATCCAGCCAAGTATAGGGGGAATTAAACCGAGGTCAGCCATTACATTTCCACACACAATTAGCTTCAGTGAGCCCAAATCCTGGCACAGGAATCACACTTGGGGCTCTGTGTTAGAGAGAAACTGTGAGCCAAGGAGCTGGCACAAGACCTGGATACTGTATGTAAGAATTCTGCCTTTTATGCCACCGGTAAACAGGAAACTATCACACAGTCAAAGCCACAGAGTTGAGGACGTGCCCTCGATTCATTAAACACCGCTAGAGAGCTGAGGATCTAGCATTTAAACTAGCACTAATCATACTGCTGAATGGATGGCACAGGCTAGCAGAACCCTGAACAACGTCTGTAAAAATTGCTGGAACATTTGGAGTCACTGCGCTCAAAACAAAGCTTGAGAGCAACTTGTCAAGGCGAGGATGGCTCCATATGAATAAATCAGCTTCTACATTTCCAAGGGAAGTGTCAGTGAAAAGAGGCAGATGCCTGTCTGGCAGCAAAAACCTTCAGCTCAAAGAAGTATCCTTTTATATCAACCAAGAGCATACAACAAACCAGCCCCATCAAGCATGAACTTTGTGCCTCTCTTTAGGCCAGCCATAATTTTTTCTCTGACATCTTATTTCAACAACCCAGAGGCACAACACTGCTTGTCTCTGCACCAGGAGGAGTCTTCATCTTCAGCTTCACAGTCCTCATATATAATGGGACAATTTCACATAAGGTGAAAGCGAAGGTGTTGCATCACCCTTTTTTGGTATTTGCACTATTTCTGCTGTTATTCTTGAAAAACCTCAAAAATATGTTTTGCTTGTATGGAAAAAAAAGGCAGCATAATGCATACATTTTCAACAAAGGTCAACTACTGCAGCTGCCAAGTCAGTCAGCAGCACAACAAACTGCAACAGCACAGTCAACATTACAGGCTTTCTGATGAGATTCCGGTTTTGTGAGGATCACATGATGGAACATCATCAACATGCCCATTAGCTCCATGTAAATACTCCAGACTACATGTAGCTGTTTTCTCACATAGGTTCACTCCAACTCACTTACGCAGACTTACTGTACTTGGGAGCTGGCAGGGTAAGGTCCGCTTAAGGTCTGGGCCGACTGACTCAGGGCTTAAGTGAGGGACTAAAGTGTCAGTATGCTTTAAACTAGTGCTTGTCAGATGACAGAGCAGTGTTTGAAGCCCCCATACACCCATATCTTTTCAACATTAAAACCAGGAGGGAAGGGGAGTGGAGGGTATGTGGGGGAAGGGTTGCATCCATCAATTTCTCTAACTTTCCCAAACTGACAGCGATTGGTGGAGGTGAGAAAGTGAAAAGCGTTTGAGCTTACTTTTCGTTTGTACTACCAAGTGCAACATTTTGAATGCTCTTCAGGAGAGACTGTCTGACAGTGGGAGTCGTTATCACCTCTTCCAAAATTATTGCACCTCACCCCCTGTGACCTTCAAATGTGGCAGCTCTGAACAGCTATAAACAATACTGCCTTCAGGTCTTCTTGCTATGAGAAAATGCTGCACTAACTATGTTTTTCTCAAGCTTACTAACACCTTCAAATTGGTCCTGCATTTGGACTCACCCTGAGTAGGTGCTGGTCACTACCTTGAGGCTAGCGGCGTTGCGGAGCAGCTTGTCCAGGGTGCTGACGATGCGGGAGAACTTGGGCCTCAGGTTCCTCTCCTTCATCCAGCACTCGAGCATCAGCTGATGCAGCACCATGGGGCAGTCCATGGGGGGGGGCAGCCGGTAATCCTGCTCTACTGCCGTCATCACCTGAGTGACAAGAAATCATTCTTAGCAAGGCTAACAGTCAACGGCCATGCTAGCAGCACTGTGAGGTTGCACTTGAATGCCGTGATGCTAACATCAACATGCTAGCATGCTGGAAGGTAAAACCATGTTACAAATCTTAGATCAGCATACTAATATTTCTAATTAGCACTAATCACAATGTTTAGCTAGGGATGATGGGAATGCTATTAGCTTTGCATGTGGTCATGAACCAAAGTGTTGGAGAAATTTAAATTTTGATGTGATGAGGGTGCTAGCTTGAATATCTGTAGCTAATTTCACAGAAAGCCATTCAATAGTTCAATAGATTTTTTTATTCAAAACCAAGAATTTCAATCTGATGATGATGCTAGAGGAGAAATTAGGAATCATCAAACTTTAGTTGCAATACATCCTCTGGGAAACATCTGAATATCTGAATAATATCTGTAAAAAAAAATGTAAACACAATCTATCCATAACTGGAAACATATTTCACTCTGAACCAATTCTGACCAACACTGCCATCCACAGAGCCATGCAGCTGCCATAGTGCCAAAGATCAAGCTCAAACATCCCGCACGCAAGGATTTAATCAAATTTCATGTGCTTCTCCTTCATAGTGTTAACATTTCTCTATGACTCATTGGTATTATGCTCATTCTGCTTGGCCTTTGTTAGTGTGTTGGAAGAATAATCCCCCGTTACTGTATTACATCCTACATTAGACAGTTCCTCAGCTCTTGCTGTCACACATTCCAATCTTCCTTTCAGTATCTTTACAAATCTACAGAAACAATATTCTCAAGGTTGACACTCCAAAACTGGCGAGATCGATCGCACAGACAATAAGTGGAAGATGAAAACATTCACTCATTGATTTGATTTCGCCTAGCAACTGTATTTCCCTCCATACGCTCTGTATGGGTTTTAACTCCCCACAACAATAAAAAAAAATTGCCATTTGGGAACAATAAAGCATTTCTGCTGCACTGCTCTTCTCCTGCTGCTTGTCCTTTGATTTTTATGTCGTGCCTGTACCTCTGTTTATATCTCGTGTTTGTTGACTCTGTTGCTTATTGAGCGATGACTGTGGCACAAAGGCTATTGGGAACAATAGAGGCCCACTACTTTGATGCTTTCATTACTGCATGTGGGTTCTGTTATGAAAGTTATACATACATTACTGGCGTTTTTCATTCCAGGATCCTTTTTTGCTTTATTGCTATCAGCAATACAACTCTCCTTTTGAAGCGCAATACAGAGCAGATATTCCTTAGGGAATAAAGTGGAGGTGTACACATTTCTTCAGTACTATGTTCAGCGAGGAGGAGCCAAGAGATTTCTTTTTCTCTCCTGCAAGCTCACGGCTGTAGTTGCGATGCCTGTGCAGTACAGATAGCCTACAGTAACGCCTATAAAAAGAAGACTTTTCGGAGTGTGCCTTTGTGTGTGTGCGTGTGTGTGTGTTGCAGTATGGTTTTGTAGAGGGTGGGCAGACTAGGGCTGTAAATAAGGTGGGTAAAACTAGAACACAGGCACACAGCTGCACCAGCATCTGCAGTGAGGAGATAAAGCCAGAAGAACAGGCCCAAGTCCAACATGTCACGCTGGAAATCAAAGCCACAGTGGCACAGAGAAACTCTCAGCCGGCATCAACTCCAGCATGAGCATTTGGTCTATGGATAGTGTATGTGTTTGTCCATGGGGCAAGCTTACTCACATCCTGGTTGCTCATGTCCCAGTATGGCCTCTCACCGTAGGACACCACCTCCCACATGACGATGCCGTAACTCCACACGTCACTGGCAGAGGTGAACTTCCTAAAGGCAATGGCCTCTGGCGCCGTCCACCGGATGGGAATCTTCCCTCCCTACACACACATGCACACACACACAGAGGGAGATGGTATCAACACCATGGGAGACCCTACAATCCTCTAACAACACACACAAGGAGACAGCATGCACACACATACATGCAGATTTCACAGACAGTCTTGCACACAAATATTGGCACACATGAACAGTCACACATGCAGCCATTTGCACGTGTGAAATAAGTGCAAATTGACAAGCTCAGCTAAACATGCACACAGTTTACAAACAGGAGAAGAGCACACACACAGTACTGACCAGAGAGCTTGTGTAAGTGGGGTCAGCAGAAGTGTCGTCCAGGAAGCGTGACAGGCCAAAGTCGGACACCTTGCAGACCAAGTTGCTATTGACCAGGATATTCCGAGCAGCGAGGTCTCGGTGAACGTAGTTCATGTCTGACAGGTACTTCATCCCGGCAGCAATGCCACGCAGCATTCCAACCAGCTGTGTCATGGTGAAGCGTCCGTCATTCAGCTACGAAAACCAGAGAGAGAGGGAAGAAAAGAGCAAAAGACATGGCCGTTAATGAACAAGGGGAAACTGATGGAGTGGAAAAAAAAGAAAGAGAAGAGAGATGCTGAAATATGAAGAAACAGATCATAGAGACGAGTATGGTATAGGAGATAAAGAGAGAGCCAATCAATCACTGAGGCCACATAAACATGACATCTGTCATAATGTCACACGGCTGCTCCTGACCGTCGCTGACAGCTGACCTTTTCATGTATGCTGTCCAATTAGTTTACTAATTAGACTGTACTATCACGCTAAACCTCTTAGGGCTCAAAACTGACTCTACACAAAAACAAAAACAAGTGCTGCAGCACTGAAATCAACCAGACCACTGCAGGTATTTTTCTTCGCTCTTCCATTGACTGACGCTGTAGTTGCACATCCAGCCGCTACACACTTGTTAACAAGAAGTGAAAAGCTTTGTTTGCATTTTTTTTTTTTGCTTAACATTAAAACTAAATTGACCCATAGACTGAAAAAAGAATGGTGTTTTGCCCTTTTATCTTAACATTTGAAAAGCATGTCACAAACCTGTGATTAGGCTTTCAGGGTTCAATTTCCAATTGTCCACTTTTATGAAGCATGTCACTGTTGGATAAACCCAATATCATAATAAATCCAACTTGTGAAGGCTCAAAAATCCTGATAGGTGAGAGCTGAGCTAAAACTAACCAATAGAATACACAGTTAACAAGAAACAAACAAACAAACAAAAATCTGGGGACATGGGTGAAGCTGAAAGTGACCTCAGCTTTTCTTTTATGACTGGAACATTTCTTACCAGTAGAATATGGAGGAAAAAACAACAACTTTCGACATAATCAATCCCTTCTTTGACTTCACTATAAGAAAGGACAGAACGCAAGATGTGACCTGAGAAAACCATAAACATTCTGCTTTGTAGTCTCCACACTCCAATGGAGTCTGACAGCAAAACAAGCTGAGATGGATGGATGTATAAACAGCCATGATTCACAGCAGGCCTTCAAAGCCACGCTGTGCATATTTATGTGTGTGTGTGTGTGTGTGTGTGTGTGTTATTTCTGTGTTTCTTCGGTGCCTCTATATGTGCAGGTCATGTGCTTGTAAGCGAGTCTATGCTTCCGCTCTTATGGGTGTGACACACTCGGACAGTTTTGTGCATGTGTGAACTAACTCTATAGCGTCCTCGTTCGACTTCCTCTGAGTCATGCTGGTGGCAGAGTGGAGGTGATGGCTGTTTTTTTGTCTTGTTTGTGGGACAGCTGACTGAGAGGAGTGGGTGAGAAGAAGGGAAGAAGCTCAGGCTGAACTATCAGACGTTTGGCTACTAATGATTGTTTTCATGATTGATTATTCAGTCTTTTCTTCACATTAATTGACTTGATGATGTGGTACTAAGCAGTATAGGAAAACCCTGTTGTAATAATATAATAATATTCTTTCTGCTGTCTCTCTGTGCAAAAGAACACCGTCTCTTCAGTCTGGCGGCCATTGTTTCAGACTGTTAGCAGACGGGCGCTCCTCCATGGCTCAATGTTTGGAGTGCCATAGCAGTAAGTCCTAAAACATTTCTGGTTTTGTTCTAACTAACCGACACAGCCATGATCACTGCCTAGATCAGGTCACACTAAGAGAAAAGGGTTTTGTAGAAGAAGAAAGCACTATACCATAAATAAAATTACAAGTTAGAAGCCATGGGACTGTGGTGCAGTTCATTTATAGCCCAACAACAGCTTTTTACTCCTGGTGATCGTATCTGGGCTTCAAATCATAAAGTGGTGATCACCTGTGAAGATTATCTTGCTGAACAAAACCTGTTAATGTCATAAACTGTGGTTTTTCACAGATCTTATTTTCCACAATAATCTAAAAGTCTATGGAAAAATCTTATTGGCTTCTTGCCAAGGGAGCCAGGGTGATGTTAATTTCAGGGCTGGCCTACAAAAAAACAGTCATCCCTACGGCACTCTATGACTACGCATGGGTAGAGAAACGCTCCTTATAAGCTTTGCTAGGCGGCAGGCGGGGCTAATTTATGGACCGCACTTAACGCTGTAGGCAGCAGACAGTCATTGGGGGGGGTTGAGGAACACGTGCTGAGAGTCACCACGTCCTGTCCCATTTTCACTTGATTTATCTGACAGTGAATAAAATCTAGTTAATGCACCTTTAAGTAACCAGCTACAGTAAGGAGACTTCTTCACAGTGCAGCCATGCAAGAAAACACATTTTATTGAATGTAAATGACATCTCATAGCCCCCACGCAGCTCCAAATGTACTGTGTGACACCTCATTTCTCATCCTGCTTTTGTTCAGCGTTTTGTGTAGGTGGTGGTCTGAACCACAAACTCTGATCAGTAATGTATTCTGTAGTCATACAAAGACTCTCTAATACACAGAGGCAAACCTATCCAAAGGTCTGTTGTGTGACAGTTCTCCACCAGGAGTTTGTGCACTGCAAAGCCTGTCAGCATCAGTCAGTCATGTCAAGCAGAGACACTACGCCTGTCTCCAGGCGTTATATTGCACATTTAATCTCTATCACTCAGCAAGTGAGCGCCTCAGGCTGTTTTACAGAAAGTAAAACATTACGATAACCTGGAGGTGCCATGAATGACTGTCTGTGTGTGCGCTTCTCTCAGCTTTGATACAAACGGAAAGTAATCTTTGCTGTCAGAGGTGTTGTGGCACACATCTCCCGCCAAGCTTACCCTGAGGAAGGAATCAAGAGCTCCGTTCTCCATAAATTCGGTGATGATGAGGACAGGGCAGCTTCGCGTCAAGACGCCTTCCAGCCGGATCACGTTGGGATGGTCAAACTGGCCCATGATCGAGGCCTCAGCAAGGAAGTCCCGCCTCTGGCGTTCAGTGTAGCCAGCTTTCAGCGTCTTAATCGCCACAACCATCTCCCTGCGACCAGGCTGCTTGAGACGTCCACGGCACACCTCACCAAATTCACCTGGAGAGAGACAACGAGGTGGGGTGGGGGCAGTGAGAATGATGAGGGAGAGGGGTTGAGTGAGTAGAGGAAAGGAGGGGAAGGGTGGAGGAAAAGAGGAAGTTGGGAAAAGTGCAGGGAGAGGGAGCGTTACTGGTAGGACCTGGGAGTGATTTGGAAGAGCTGAGGGACGGCGTCCACTGTGGAAGAGCATCAGAAAAGACCAGAGGTCAGGGGTCAAAGATGCTGGGAAGAGAGGGAGTGACCAGAATCGATCGAGTGTGCAACCTGGGTGCAGTGCAGGGAGACAGAGGGTGGGGGAGGAGTCTGGGGGGTTTGCATTTGGTGCCTGAGTACAAATGTTTACAAGGGAGAGAGAAAGAAAGAAAAGACAGGGAAGGAAGGAGGTTGAACGAGCAGGAGCAGACTGTCATTTGAGGTGGAGTTAGGACACAACATGCCACTGGAGAGAAAAAAAAAACACCAGAAGAGGAAAAGCTACAGAGAAGCTTTTTGTTTCAGCTCTTTTCACCTCCTGCTCTCATGCACACTGAATCCTAACCCAGAAGACTGTCTTATAGAAAAGACCCCGGGGCTTGATGGCACATTCCTGTTCAACTAAATGATTAATAAACCTGAATCATTCTCTGTCCCCATGGACAAAAACAACTGCACTGCATACCTGCGCCAATGACTTCTTCTATTTTCACACAGGAGATGTCTATCTCTTTGGCAAACTCGTGGACGGCATCATTGGGGTCCTCGTAGGTGAACGGGTCGATGTACACTTTGACCCCTGGAGAAACTGAGGGAAAAAGTCAAAGAGAAGTCAACTTCTATAGTGCTCTGTTATAGGAATATATCAGTGAAAACAAGCTTTGCATGTGTCTAAGAATGGGTGATATGACTGAAACCATTATCACAACATAACATGCTTTTAGCCACACTAATACATCTGTTTATGACTAAAGACTTCCCATCTGTTCTATTATCGGGTTAATGCTAGATAAAATAGTAAACATCAGCATGTTAGCATACTGACATTAGCATTTAGCTCAAAGCACCACTGTGCCCGAGTACAGTGTCACAGAGCTGCTAGCATGGCTGTAGACTTAGTCTTGTTCCAGTGTTAATATCACAATATACAATAGTGCATCTATTCAAAGTAACAAAAAAATTAAGATGACATTCTGTGCAATGAACTCTGTCCAGTCTCATGCAATACATCAAACCAACTCTTCACTTATTATTCAACCACATAAATAATTACAAAAAAATAGTTTCTTCTGAGACTATTTTGGGGCATTTTGCCTTTAACTGGCAGCATACAGCTTAGAGGCAGCAAAGAAATATGAAGGGAATGACATGCGACAGGTCCCTGACTTGATTTGAACTGTGGCCAGCTTCTAGGCCACTGTGACATCCACCCAGATGTGCATTTTTTTTTTTAACTCTGCTTGAAATCATTAACTGGAAGTTTTGGAAATCATACTCTGATTTGGAAAATTGAATTAGATATTTAGATATGATCATATTAAGCAATTTAAAAGAAAAAATGTATGTCTGAACCCAACTGGGTTTGCAGGTGCAAAAACGGCAGCAAAGCAGAAGCTGTGGGTCGAAGACCTTGTAGGTTGAACTGTTGCATTAATAAAAACTTCTACCATCTTCCAGGTCTCAGCCCCTCCTTGTTCAATACTGAATTATCTTCCTACTCCACATGAGTCTGCTTTATATTTCTCAGCTCAGCTGATCGATCTGGTCAGACTGTCCTCTGAGTGAACAGGAAATGGTTTCCTGCCTCAGTCACAGTACTGGATAACTGACTGAATTTTAACGGTACAGACAAAACCAAAGGACCACAGAGGAGAGTACCAAACTGAACACATAAACTTACTGTATTGCTGCAGCTTCTCAGTGTACTCCAGCTCTGAGCCCCTGCGCTGCTTCCTGTAAGCAAGCAGCACATAAAGTCACATTCACATAATCAGCTTTGACCCTTTCCAGGTACAGGGAATCAAAGTATTATCTAACTCGACAATCAGATGAAACCACAGACTGCCGGGGAAGAAACTCCCAGAGCAGCTCTGTTTTCTCTCCTCCTTTTTGAAGTTAAAGTATACATCCTTTGAACACACGTTAAAATTTAATGCGCCTCTTTGTTCAGAGCCTAACTAACAAAATGAAACATGTAGTTCATGCTGTCAGTAATAAAAATCAAACACTTACTTAAGGCAGACAACAGTGATAACCACCAAGGCAACAATGACCACCAGACCTGCGGAGGCCGAGCCGATGATGAGAGGCAGCTGGTCCTGCACCGACTTCTGAGGGTCGCCTGGACCAAATAACACACACAGACACACAGGAGTAAATAACAGCAGAGACATTCCTTGAGAGATTAAAGGGTGGTCTGTTGTGCATGTGTAATGGATACCATTAAAGGCAGCCATAAAAACTATTAAGCTTGAACCCTCATTAAGAGAACCATAGCAGCAGATCACCAAGAACAGCACGAAAGAGGTTGTCCGTACTGTGGAGGCTGGTGCTGAAGTCCATGGGGTTGCTGTATCGGCCATATCCGGCGACAGTACGAGCTCTGACCTGCACCACATAGGGTGTGGCGGCGCGCAGCCCCTCTACCTTGGCTGAGCTGTGCTGGGATGTTACAGTGTGTGACATCACCTGGCCCTGCAGAGCAAGAAAGTACTGTCACAGCACCAGTTGTTTGTCAGCAGTTTGTTTCTGGATCATTTTTAAGTGGTTTGCTGGTGAAGAGCCACCTTTTGGGTTTAAGTTAGCAGAATAATGAACACACAACTGAAATGTGTTTGTTGTGTGTTTTGCTCAATTAAGAAATGACACATTTTTACTCACACAAATTAAAAGCTGAATTCTAACCAAAAAAATGCAGCATTGCTCATTTAATTAGACTTAGTTTGGCTGCTTCAGCCTTCCTTAGTCTGACCGGTAGCTTAAAGTAATTATGACTATTTACTCCTTGCACTACTGTTACTTGGTCATTTATATTTATCCTGTAATTGCCACTTGTGCCCACAATGCTCACTATGTAACAAAGGTTAAATATCATCAGCTAGACTTAGCAAGTCATATAATAAGTCAATAATTTAACTTTGGAAAAAACACACAGTCTTCTTGAAACAAATGAAAACATTCATACACGAGCTTGTCTTGGTCTGGTACAACCAGTAGCTTTTGGTGAATAATATTGCTAATGCTAGTTAACTTAAGATAGATATTCCTCATCACCATTACTGTGCTACTGTTACACTGTGTTTTACCATTTACCCTTATTGTCACTTTTAGCCCATGTGCTAATTCAAACCATTTTGTTCAGTTCACTTCAAAGATGTACATGGTAACTGGCTACATGGTTTGTTAAAGCTAATGTACATGGTAACTGGCTACATGGTTTGTTTGCTAATGAATCAATCAATCAGTCTATATATTAATATCAATTCTACAGTGTCTTTCTGTCTGTTAGGCCATCAAACAGCTGGGCCTATTACTAAAACTGACCTCAATGGATTGTGTTTCACTGGTCTGAACCAGAGGGGTCTAAAATGTTGGTTTTTACTATCAAAGGTTATAAAGTGTCCATGCTTGGAAATTTAAATGCCAGTGATGTAGCATTCACATCACCAGTTGCCTAATCTGACTGGCCAATACTCTCCAACAGGAGAAATTTCTAGACTATCAAGCCCTGACACACATCACATTTAAATTTTACACCATTTTTCAGCTTCCATGAAAATGTTTCTCTCTGTACAGGGCTTGAAAAATCGATTTTCAGAGTCAATAAGACATGCACTGTGACCTACATTAAGGCAACAGCTAAAAATCCAGAGCTTACCCTCTCATGGTATTTAATCTCATAGTCAAGGATGACCCCATTGGGTTTCTCAGGGGGCAGCCACGACAGGCTGAGAGTGTCTGCGGTGGAGCGCATCAGATGAACGGTGGGCACTGCCGAAGGTGCTGGGGGTAGACATCAGAGAGGACACAGTTTATATTACACTGGAACCGGAAAATGACTTAATCTGTGACTTTGGGTAATCACTTGAGTCGCCAAGATTTTCCCTTTTGAAGTCATAAACCATCACAGTAAGATAACTATTATTCAAAGCGGTATGTGTTTCACCTTCACTTTTCTGCAGTGCACTGATTTGTGAGGGATGAAACTGACTCAGTGGACAGTCACTGTTCTGGGGCCATAAACTGCAGTAAGGTGGATTAAGTGCAGGTTAACGGTGAGAGTAATTACAGTCTGTGAAAGGTGCTGATGATGACGCTGCAAAAATTAGGTGGAGATGTTGAAAGGTGACATTGTCAGTGATGTAACATAAGAGGCCTGCTTGACAGCATGCTGAATGCTGACAGTGGCGATATAAAGTACACTTTACATTTTATCTGCCTTGCCTTTCCTGCAGCTCACTCAGAAATGCTCCAGCTGCGCGGTTCCTCCATCTGTCACTCTCACTGAGCTTGTTCAGCAGTGTTTACTGTTGGTGTTAATACTGCCCTGGATATTAGGAGCTCATTAAGACATGCTGATATTGACTGAACGCTGGATCCACTAACCAGCGTGATGTTAAGTGGTATTGACTGGAGCGGCTCTATGAATTAACTTGGTTTGTGGACACATCCGATGTTATTGACAGATCTTCTGCTACTAACCGGCTTGGTTGGTGGTAATGTTGACCGTGGAGTAGCTGGGTGAGGCGGGGCTTTTCCCAGAAACCCCATTGACAGCCTGCACCTCAAAACTGTAGCGGGTGTGGGCTTGCAGGTTCCTCACCACCACCTTCCTCTGCCTCAGCCCCAGCCTGCGAGGAGCGATGTCCACGTTGTTATCGCAGCGTGTGCAGGGGCTTCGGTCTCGCAGGCATTTCTTACACACCACATTATAGACCAGGTCGCTTCTGCCGCCTGTGTCATCAGGCTCCTCCCACTCCAAGGACAGAGAGGTCTCGTTCACGCTGGATATAACGTTGCGAGGTGCTGAGGGAATGGCTGCACAAACACACACGCACACGTAGGTGGGCAGGCAGAACAGAAAAACACACAACTGAGGTGTTAGTCATGTTCCCTATGCATTATCCTCCCTCAACAGTGTAAGAAGTGATTTACTATCTCTACAGGAAGGCAACAGGAGGCAATATTTCATGTAGTATATGAATTATTAAATCCTTCTGCACAAATAAATGTGTTAAATTGCTTTACATGCACTAATCACATTTTTACAATTGAGGAAAGGGCATGGAAACATGTTAAAACATAGAGAAACATCCTTTACGGTGCAAATAATTAAACTGACATATTTGGAAAAAGGAGGCTAAGCACAAGCTGTCATGCACCAGCAGGACACCAGTGTCTATCACTAAGTAAGAAATGCACAATGCTATGGAGCTCTAACATCGTAGCCCATGTCCATTCCTATGCAGAACCCCCTTCTGGTGCTTGTGGAACTTGGCTAATCCACTCGTGATAGAAATTCATGTTCCAGTATCAGTATAACCCAGGGCCACCGCGTTTCAATAAGCAGTGCTGCGGTTTGAGTGAAGAGTGTTTGAAATGCGGATAAAATATGATAACCGCATGGGGAGGCAACAAAGATTGGCTCAGTGAGCGTGCTTTTCATCCTATTATAACGAGAGAATAGAAGGGCTCTCCCTCTAAGCTTACAGCTGCAGAAAGTCTAACCTGTCTCACGGCAGAGAGAAAAGGGGAAACATTGGCCAAACCTGCCTGTCCACTGAGTTCAGCTCCTCAGCTAGCCCTGAGCCCAGTTTTACTCACCCTGTCCTTTCTAATTAAGCAGACACAGTTCAGAGTGGAAGCTCTTCTAATTGGACACCCATCAAAAACACACGCTGAGTCCAAGCTGCCGGCCATTGACTGGCTGAGCCTCTCATGTGCAACACACCGCTTCCAACACAAAGCACAGGCTGCCTGGCACAGGCTCTGACAGACCGCAGGGACAGAACTGTCAGGCCTGTGTGTGTTTGTGTGTGTTTGCATGTTTAGTCGGAGGTGGTGCTTGTGTGCCTGCCTGCCTGTCTGCACGCACTGGTCAATGTCAGAGTCCACAGTGTTCCTGTCACGAGAATCTGGGGAAAACAGTTGCGGGCCATGTGTGTCATTTAACACGGCAAAAGGCCCCTGGGGGGTGATTTTATATGGTCAAGGCAGCACATGTCACTCTCCATCAGGGACCTCTCTCAGAGGCCTGTCCATGTCAAACAAGTCAGACCAGCATTAACACCCAACGCACAATTTCCACAGTTATTGGCACGTAGCTGCAGATTTTTCATTTCATTTTCATTCAAATCTGAACCGTCTACAAATAAAACAAAACTGATACTTCCACTATTTATATTTTTCAAAGGAGGTTTTCTTTTTCTTCTGTGTAAACTGTACTTGAATGTTTGACATTTGAGAGCCAGTGCTGACAATTTCCATGGCACGCTGTCTGGAGCACTGGCCTGTACAGACAATCAAACGGACATAGTGCTGGTTATGTACCAATAGTGCCCATTTACAACATTTGGGAGAGCTCATCATGCCCCTAGGTTTGCATTTCACTTGGAAAGTGGGAGTTAGCGAGCTAGGCTAACCAAGGCCCACTCGAAAATTGGATGCCGCTTACCTAGCGTGCTAATGTTAACGCTGTTACCCACTAGTTACCTTTAGCTCATGTTATAGAGAATGTGAAGGTACATCGAAACTGCTCTTCAGAAAACCAACAGGTGACGTCACGGTGGGTTTGTCCATTTTTTTATATACAGCCAATGGCTGTCTCTCAATCACGGGGCCTGTTAACTGTCAATATCCGAAGTAGATTGGTAGTTCTGCAACTTAAATACTCCCAGATTCAAACCGAGACAAGGAGCAACTCACATATGGAGTCCAGGCAGAATCACAGAGCAACATACGCAGAGCTCACATCACACAGAGGTCCAGCAGAAATAAAGCAACAGCTACAACGCTGTCACTCCAGCTGGTTAACTGCTTGTGTGTACACTGGAGCTGAAGGGATATTACAAACTATTTTTAGTGCCTGCTCAAACAGCATCAAATATTGCTGCAAATGACAACAAATCACATCTAATTTCCTGTAAATTTTAAAACTGATAGTACCAGCATCATCAACAGGAACATTCACACCCTCTACTAACTGCCAATATAGGGGGCGCTATCACAGCTTCAGTTTCTTCTTTTTGGTTAAACACATTTCTGATCCAAAGATATACTGATCTCTTAAAATAAAATAAATTTTGGCTGGATGCAACCTTTTCTGACTTGAGCCCTCTGTCGTTCCAAACGAAACAGCATTAAAAAATTTGAAGTTTTCTTTTTTAGTCTGTGTATTGGAGGATGACTTACTGGTGCAGGCTGAGTCAGGGGGGTCGCTGTCAGCTCGGTAGAAACCATTCTGGCAGGGGCAAATATTGGCTCCTCGTGCACTTGTGCGACTGTTGGATGGGCACAAAGCACAAGATCCCTCCCCAAATTTGGATTTGAAAGTTCCAGGGATGCAGGCTGAATGAGCAGGAGAGAAAATAAAAGGGACAATAAGAACAAAGAAAAACAAAACATGCTTCGCTCTCACATATTTAAAAGACAAGCTGCTGTCACAGAACAAAAATTGTTCCTGTGAAGTATGAAGTATCTGCAAAGCTCAGTATTTATGCAGAAAATGTTGATACAAGCACTTAAGCATAAAGACTTATCTATATATTTACATCTGCTCTATCATTTTTACTCTCTGTACCAGGTGACATTAATCTCTTCAAAAAGAGAGGCAGGATGACAGCAGCGTTTCATGTTGAAGAGCAGGAAAAGGAGGATAGAGATGAAGATAGACTGCTGACAGGAGATTGCTGTTGTCACACAAACAGGGATGGAGAACGCTTCTGAGAAAAGGGATACACCCTAAACCCATCAATCAGTGTCTGTTCGATCCTTGGCTCTCCAAACCACGCCGCTGAATACAAACAAGGCCTCCACATGCATGCAGAACAGCTCTATAATAAGATAATAAATCAATTCAAATGAAGGGACATCACACCCGACATAAATTAGCTGAGGAGAGTTATTAGAAAGATAAACAAACTACAGTAATCTTAGACTATGCATTCAAGCGATTAATTTGAATTCTGAAGTGTCGCCCTGAAGGTTGGCCGCTACTGAGTCTTACAGATAAACCAGCATAAGCCTAGACTAAAGAAGGATTCAGATAGAGGGGATTAGCAGCAAAAGGTCCGGATATATCAGCCTCCAGAGCCTTCGCGTTTTACTGTTTCCCACATTCCTGACTGATGGTGTAAAAGTGGGGTCCCTGGCAAACATCTGTCCTGTCAGCGTGAGGGCCCATAAAAACAGCCAGTGAGAGAGAGTGTGTGTGATTAAATGGTTAGACTAAGTGGTCTTTCAGTTTGAGCTCAAGTTCCACCCTAATTCCCAAACAATGGCACTTAGGAAAATAGGCACAGCTAACGGCCCGCGTTGTAAAACCGTGCAATAAAATGATGTCACCATTCACAACAGAGACCTCTAGGCACACTCTCTGATCTGATTTCTTCTATTAACACTGCATCATCATTTGCTTTTTACTTGTTTGTTTTTCCATTTGAGAGGGTGCTGAATCGCCCTCTGTGTTGCTTCAATCCATTAACCTCTTAGGAGGACACAGTGATATTCCTCTTTTTGATACAGTGATGTTTCCCATCTTTTCTTCTATTGTCTCTCCTCTCCTCTCCTTCGCCCTCTCTCCATCTCATGTGGCGCTCGGCTGCGAGCGGATGGCGAGGCTGAGGTAAGAAATGAAATGTCTGAGTGATTAATGTTAGTGTGGCAGTGTTGGCTCACGTTGGTCTGAATGGTGTTAATGAGTGTGGCCTGCCTGTAGATTAACTAACAGGATGCCGCGAAGGAAATTACACTTCCTCATTGCAACCACTGGCTGAAGCCCTAGAGAGCTTTTTTATCAGACACTGGCGGCAAGCTTTTAACCTTGAGCCGCCAAATGGCAATGAATGTCTTCTGCAGCGCGTGTTAGACACTATTTCTCATGCCCGGGTGAGAGGAGGCTTTGCTTCTCTGTCTTCTTCAGCTTCCTGCAGGCCCCCCTCCCTTTTCATTCCTCTTCTTGTGTCTGTTGTTTCTATCCCATCTTTGGTAATTCAGACCTCTTAACTCACACTATCTTTCTTTCGCTGTTAATATCTCTCTTCTGCGGACTTGAAATGCCTTGCCCTTCTATTATCTGCATTTTCTTCCAGCAAATTTTTTGGCTCTTTATTTTGTGCCTTCCCGCTATCTTGCTCTCCCTTCTGTCCTGCTCACACAATATTTGTATGCTGCTCCTCTCTGCAACACCTCATTAATTCATACTCTCCTCCACCCTCCTTCACCCCCCCCTTCAGGAGCCACACAATAAATGCGGAGAAGAGGGCACAGACTGAGGTGACTTGCACTGAGCATATAAAGAAGGTTTGGTAAAATAAAAGTCCAAATGTCTGTTAAATACACATACCCTGGCACTGAGTGCCGTCGGCAGAAGGTTCAAAGCCAGCGACGCAGGTGCATGAGCCCACGGGAACCATCCACTCGCCATCCCCGTTGCAATACAGCTTTAGAGGGACAGATACCTCCATAGCATTGGTCACACAGGCCCCTGGAGCAATCACCAAGGAAGTGGCTTCGGCACCTGTAGCAGTCTCTGGGAAGACAGCAAAATTGGCTATGGTGGTGGAGCACTTCTTGAAGAAAACCCTGACTGAGATGAGGGACATGCAGGCGCCGAGGTCCTGGAATGCCAGGTAGAAGCCTGCCCTGGAGAGGGGGCCAAAGCTGCGCACTTTGGTGTTGATCCTGCCCGCCACCAGCAGAGAGAAACTCTCATCTGGGGCGATAGTATCCACCTTCACATAGGGGTTCTCCCTCCACAGAGGGCTGGTGTCTGTAGCTGTGTCCCCCTCTGACTCATAATAAAACAGATTAAAGGTCTCTTTGCAGGAGCCGGGGATGTTGGGGATGCTAGCGCAGTCACGGACGGAGAACTTGAGCTCTACGTAGACACGCAGCACGCCCTTACGGGGGATAAAATCCGTCCTCAGCCAGTTGTTCTGGTTAGGCTGTCGGACGTTACACACCTGGTAGGTTCTGATTGGGCTCATGGAGTCATCATAGCCACTGACCTCCTCCCACTGTGGAAACAACACAGGGAGACACTGTGACAAAGCAAGAAGCAAAAGCAGGGACAGATGACTGATTCAGACAATGAGGAAAGAAGAATAAGTTTAAGAACAAATAGAGAACAAATTGAATTGATTATCTCATGCTTTTCCTTAATGTGACAGCAGCTCTATTTCTTATTCAGCAGCAAATTCACTACAACAGAAACTCACTTATCCGATATGTAGTTAATTATTACTGAGCGGTGTTAAATGCAGTACATCCTAATGCAAACCATTCAGGCATAGAGGGCATTCAAAACAATGAAGTGACTTCTGATGTAAACAGACACACACACATTCCCACAGTGTGTTGTGTCTATGTGGCCTGTGAGGAATAGTTTGCAGTGAAAATGCTTCTAATTGCATAAATCATTCAGAAAATTCCAATCATAATGGACTATTAATAGAAAACATTTTCCCATTAAAACACATTTCACGCATTAAGCCTCTTTGACTGAACAGTTGTGATGCCGATCACGTGTTAGCGGTAAATGGAGGTTGTGTTGCCACTAGGATCATTACAAGTGTGTTGGCTAGGACTTTATCAAAGTCTACCTATCGATGCTATTAAACAAACTGCAGACACACCTATGGGAAGCTGTGCTGGTATCTACAGTGTAAGTGCTGCAGTGCAATCCAAACAGCCTTAGGAGGGGATTTGGGTTCTGTAAGATAAAAAATTGCCATCTCTGCTAAGACAGATGAGCATATCATACTGTACATTTTAAATGGAAATGTCTCCCATATATCTATAATGCAAACAATGTAAGTCATTTATTAAATGCTGCCAGAATGATTTTACTGTGGCAGCACTCCTGAGCCCTTCAAGGTTATACAGAATATATTAGATGTATTCTCCTATGCCTACATATTTAGCCTGAGAGCGGATATTTGCAATTTGCATCTGTTGTTAATAATGCACCCAGAGGACTGAAGTTTTTTTTTTAACATCATGACTTCTTCTTCAGTGTGTAGCTTTGTATATTGGTAACACTGGTCTTGTGTGGTAACTAACATTACAGGATATAATTAATGGCTTCGGTGGTCAATAAATTTAGTCCATTAGGAAACAACCTGTGAGAAGTCAATCTTTTTTTTTCCATAATCTTCCCATGGACGGCTTCGTTTCCATTACAAATGAGCTTCCCAGAAATTGATTATTTCAACTGGAAGAAAATAATGCATAACTCATCTCACGTCTTTGAGCTCCTGTGCAATTTATTCCCAAACGATGAGCCCAACAGTCAGCAGTTAGTTGTCGTAAATCACCAGCAACACGTTGATACACTACCTGACAAATATGATAATTGCTGGCCCCGTGAATGTATGGGCTTGTCAGGAGTAAAGAAAGGGGGGCTGCCTCAACCAGTCGTGACAAACGCAAGGAATTCCACAGCCGGCCCTTGTAGGAAAAAGAAAGAAGCAGGGGCTGCCGAAGACCGTTTCCATGGAAACCCAACATTTCCATTGACTGACTTTGCGCTCACGTAGCGAAGACAAATTACACTGGCCGGGAGTGGGGGAGGTCTGTCAGGCTGTTAGCCCTGGGGTCAAATTCATGTTGTTTTATTTTCTCACTATTCCTATAGGGGGTATCAACTGAAAACCTTAATTTCTCCCTGTAATGCGCTCTTGGGCCCATAGTATAAAAGACACACACATGCTTTCAATTATCAGGCTCCCCATCCTGGAGAGACATGCAAGGTAGAGTCTACCTAACAGTCCTAACACACCGTGGGGATTTGTTCTGTGTGTCTGTGTTCACTCGCTTGTTTGTTTACACCACAACATACCCATACTCTGTGCATTTTGTCAAGCATTTTACATAGTCTGAAAACAGGGGGTTTTTTGTCCCTCGCACAATGTCACATAGTGTGTTTCTCGTTTGCTTTTTGGTATCTAAAAAGCAAACATACACTGCAAAAACAAAGATGTAAAACAGTAGGAGGTGTGCTGTCGAAGGCAGACTGGGCTCTATTAACAAGCAAATGGAACAAATGTTGTTTTAAAAAAAAGGAACAGAAAACAAGCGAAGCACATGCAAAAACACACTAACTCACCCCACTCTCTGGGAATGTGGTCCAAGCCAGCTCTGTGGTTGCCCACCGACTGTCCATGAGGGTTTCTGCAATTTAAGAGTAGGATGAAGGTTGACAAACCTGAATTAAATGGTATGAGGAGGAACAAATTTCATCCTTGCACAGCATTAAAGTTTCTTCTGCTTGACAAAAAAGCAGGTAAAACTTCCTGTCCTTCTCAAAACCATCATCTACATGCACTGACAATCACAGAGCATCTGTGATGTTGCCTAATTAAGGTTTTCTCTACGTGTGTTTGTTTCTTTCAATACTCATTGGTAGGACTACACAAGAGCAAAGCATCCTCCTAGTTGAGAGAAGTCATATAAGCACAAGGAAATTGAATACGCAGCGTTTTGGTAGGGAGAAACATCTGGTAGTGCCGTAAACGTGACTCCTTTTGGCTGAGATTTGTCAAATCGGAGTTAACAGGTAATCTGAGCCATGTTTTCTTCACCTAGTTGTTTACGACTTGGCAGGGGAGGTGAGTGAAGGGCAGACAGGCAGAGAATAAACAGCAGGAACAGTGAGTATTGTGGTGTCAGACTGTCAATCAGTTGTCACCTGAGAGGTGGTCCAGCGAGTTCATTACAACACAGAAGACCCAGCCCCTCTCTGATGCACAGCTGTGGTCTCTCCCATTGTTCTGTTGTTGTTAGCACATAATTACTAAAACAATTACACTTTCTTCATGGAGACTCAATGACATGACGCCTGCTGTGCACCATTTGCTCACAAGTCATTGATAACAGTGCTAAAGGAGGGTGTGAGATGGTAAACAAATAACAAAATAGCATGTCCTGTGTAGAACAACAGTGAGGGCTCTGCTTAAGGAACATGACTATGTGTGTCCTTGAATGTGCTTGATTGAGCGAGGAGATCAGTGGTCCATCTGTGGCTGCGATGCTAGAGATATGTGCAGTGGTTGCAGTGATGCCCGTGCGTTCATTAGAGAAGCCACAATGGAGATAATGAACAGGATCTGTTCATCTAGCAGGACCCATTACACTGTTCAATTGTCCACCATGAAGAGTCACCAGTAATTGTGGACTGCAAAAAGGCTCTGATTGTACTAGAACTACGACTACCTGTCCTTATATTAGAGCTTTGTGTGGTAACTTTCCCACTGCAGTTATAGAAAAGACCAGAAGCAAGCGGGGAAGCTTTCTACTGTCACTCTGTTGTTTGATGTGCAGTGATCAACTAACTATGAAATGTTCTGCTCCTTCAAAATAATGGCAGGTTTGGCAGGACCAAGGCCTCCCTTGGTCAGACGTCGAATCAGCGTGGTAACACTTCCTTTAATTTAAAGGAAATATATATTTATTTAAGGATGAGGATAATCATAAGGATAATCACCTTTATTGGCCAGGTATGTTACACACAAGGAATATGTTTCCGGTACAGGACTAGCTATGTTCTCCATTTCCATTCTTTAAGCTGTGCTAATTTAGCTGACTAATGATGGTAGCTTCATATTTAGTAGACACACGTGCCTGACATCTGCTTGTTAACAGGAAATAGTCCTGACCAAGAAACAGCCCCTTATAAAATGGCAATTTGCCATTTTTACACCTTTTACATCTTAATTAATTATCTGTAAAAGCGCTGGAAAGTGTATTTTTCCTTTCCAGACTACATGCTAAGCTAAGCTAACTGACTGCTGTAGTTTCATATTTCTCTGGCAGACATAAGAAGGGTATCACTCTTCACATCCAACTCTCAGCAAAAAAGAGAATGTACATATTTCCCAAAATATTCCTGAAAATTTCTTTTAAGTAATGCAAAACTAGACCCTGATTCACTTAAATCAGAATCACATTTATTGGCCAATTATGTTTAAAATTTGACTCCAGTTCATGATGATTTCACGCATGAATTAAAGCAGGGCATATCCCAAATTCCTTGCTATTAAGAAATTATAATGCCACCATGAGGTCACGTGATTAGATAACCAACAAATAGATCACTAGTTGGTCACTGGGTCATGCGGCAACATTTTACTACAACAGCTTCATATTATGGGGAGAACAGGTAGAACCCTTTTCTGTGTAACTGGATTTCAGCTCATTTGGAGACATATAAATTAGTGAATAAAGTACTTTTAATTAAGAATTAAATGATTAGCCAATATGCAATAATTAATCTCTCATAGTCACTTGATCATTTGTGGTGAGCAGCAGGAA